GATTTCAGCAAGGTCTTCATTGGCAGCATTGACCTGCCTGCGCCGTGAGTTCTCAGTTTGCTGGGAAGTAATGGGAATTCTGGAAGAGAACGCAGTATGGAGGGTACTATCATCTGCAAAGCTGTGAATGGGGCAAGTTGTTACTTCCAACAGATCATTGATATGAAGAAGGAATGATGTTGGTGCCAAAATTGATCCTTGTGGAACGCCGGAATTGATGCCAATGGTATCAGACGATACACCGTCCACCACCACGTGAAGCGATCTGCCTGAAAGAAAACTCGATAAGAGATGGTATAGCTGATCGAGGTGGTAAGCCGTATGATGGTAGTTTGTGGAGGAGTCCTTCGTGCCAAACACGGTCGAATGCTTTCGATATGTCCTACGAGACAGCTAGAGATTCCCCGTGTTTTTTTAATGAATTTTTTCGAAATTTTTATCAGAGTAGAGCTAGGGGCATTTCTTTCCTTAACTTTTTTTTCTATGCAAATTTCGGTTATAAATATCATAATTGTTATGTTTAGTTTCGATATCACTCACCATTTTCTGGATAAATCGATTTTAAAAGTCTGCTGCATAACAAAGATAGTGCTTTTTCCTTATAATAAGGTACCAAATTTTCCCAAAAATAATTTTTTTATAGAAAATCTCCTTCTTTCAACATCTACTTATGATGTTTGACACAAAATATGAGGGGAACAATAAAATGAATAATTTGAAAAAGTATATTCTATTTTTATTACTTGCAGCAGACTCTTAAAATCGATTCCTGACGGTGAATGCTAACGAAACTGAAAACTATGAATGAATACAAAAAGCTCAAAGTCCCTTCCACACAATGTTCATAAAATGATACAATGATAGATTTCAGAAGACAAAAAACTACTTTCCTGGCTAATGCCACGCAGAACATTGAATTACATCCTCCACTTCCGTATGGGAATTTCAGTTTTGGAGTGATTATTTCCTTTTATTTTACTCAGATGGCGTTGCTTTCATATTGTCGATGGAAGACGCCTCTGGGAGAATATCATGTCCACTTGACTTTTGTTTGACCAGGCTACGCTGAGTCGGCGGTCTTAGGTCTGCTGGCTGGAGACTACACTGCACTGATGAGAGTCAAAGAGCTCGAAACCGGTCTGTGGTTGTCTAGTGTGGCCTGACTAAATCGAAATCAATAGGCATTCAGGAAAGAATCACTTGGATCAGTATTTGTTTTTACGAGTCGATGCATAGATTTCGGGAGGATGTAATTTAGTGTTCTGCGTGGCATTAGCCAGGAAAGTAGTTGTTTTTCTCCCGAAATCTACCATTGTTGTTTATATATGAACATTGTGTAGAAATGACTTTGAGCTTTTTGTATTTATTCAACATTTCTTTCCACTTTGAGCATTGTGGCTATTTCGTAGGTAAAAACTATAATTTTCAGTTGAAAATGATGATATTTTCATAGTTCCTGGTCGAACTGCCAAAAATTGCATGAAAAAAAAGTTCAAATCGTGCATGAAAAGTGATGAACATTCAAAAAATTTCGTTATCTCAACACATAGGGTTTCGGAAATATTTACAAAAAAACATCATCTCGAGCCGTCTTCTAGATGGCTATAATAAATCCCCAAAGGGGCTTTTCTGGGCTCATTTTATATGCACTTCTTTTACTTTTTCTGTTCCTAGAATCTATGGTTGATATTTGTGATATGTGATTTCGAAACACCCTGTATATCTTTCGAATGGCTCGACTTTTTTTAGACGCCAGGATACCATTTTGAATGAAAAAATTGAATTGAATTTTCCAGAGGTTGGTGAAGTTTTAGAGAGAAATCAGGAGCTTCCGGAGGGGGAGGCAAGGCCCCCCCCTAGCGCCTGGTCTTTACTCAGAAGATACTTTCTAAGCAAGATACATTTGCATTATTCAATTCCTATTCTGATTAGCGCTTATTATAGTGACTTTCTGAGACTTTGTTTAATTAGTATTCATCGACATCTTACAGATAGATAGATATAGAGTTAATTTTATCAACGAAGTTATTCATAAATTCGCTCAAGACTCTATAAAAATGTCAATTTTGTTTGAACAAGATTATGATTATTATCACGTGTATTTTTTTATTGTAATTTTGGCTTTAAACAGAATACCTATATGTGATGTCATTCCAATTAATTTTCTTTTTTTTTTATTCCATGTTTTATGTAGAATAATAGTAGATTATATGTATATCGAGTGAGTAAAGTGCATGGTTTTGTAGCCAGAGGGCGCTACAATAATGCACTTCCGAGGTTTATATACCATTTTTTGCACGACTCGACGATTTTAATTGAAAAAATGAAAATCTGAACACAATAATCACAAAATCAAGTTTGATTATCATGACTACCGATAAAAAAGAGTAGCCATATTGCTTTTAGTGAACATGTGGTAGCATAATTATTTTCTTAATTGCTTACCAAAGTTTTTTCAATAAATATTGCAGGAATGTGTGGAAAAACTATTGAAGAAGCTGCTGCAAACATAGTGGTAGATTTATTTGCTAGAAAAATCCCGGAAAATTTTTTAGCCTTAGAGGGTGCCTACTCTGTATATGTACTCTGTATTCCCACTTTTGTCGGTGTAAAATCGCTTATAGGTCGTGCAAAAACTGTTTTTTTGATATGTACTGAATATTGTACATTATTTATTGTGACTTGCCCCTCCCTGAAAATACAATGACGATTCATATATGAATACAGGCTGTCCCATTTTCGATGTCATTCGAGGTTATCTCCGTTATTTTTGTAGATAGAGATTCGTGGTTTTTGCGAATGTTTGCTATACGTTTTTGTGAAACTCACGATATCGCATACAGAATTTTCATAGCCTGCTTCGTTTTTGAGATCCAGGGTGAAATTGAAAATGTTGCATTTTGGTTGGTATCCCCCCAGAATCTCAGCTATCTTTTCATCTTATATGAAAAGTAGGAATAACTGTCACTTCAACAGTTTTTTACGTGAAATCCATCAGTGGCGTCATCATATTTTCAAAATAAGCTGTCATTATTTTGATATATAACTAAAAGTTTTAAATAGAACACCCTAGCTGTATATTTTTTCATATTTCTATTATTTATGCTTCGCACTTCCCAAACTTATATAACACTTACACGAGATTTTGAGTATTAGCTTCGAATTTAGATTATTTAAATTTTTTTTCTATTCTTATATAAGAATGGTAAACAGTTCGTGGCAACACTGTCATATCTGGCGCGAATTCATAGTCAGATACCAAGATGACAGTGCAAGTGCAATAAACAGATTCTGGGCCATTGGTGACTGAGAAGCCCCATCTGTGTAACAAATACATTTTATTTTAAGAGATGCATGTAAATTCTCATAAGAAAAGTCATATTGTTTTTGTTTTCCATAAACCTACTATATAATATATGCTACTTTTCTAGCTGATAACTTCAACATTTGCATAATTAGTTTCACATGGAATCTTACAGAATTGAGAGTTGTATATTTTCCCAACAGTTTCCAAAGTTATTACTTACGTTTTTTCCCGTGAAAATTACGCCAAGTATATATGTCTTTGATGATATCACATGAGTAAAACTTATTATAAAAATTTTCTGTCAGTAATTATAAATGAATTGAATAATTAAATCTGAAAACTCATTTCACATACAAATCAGAAAAAATTCTTAATGTTTTTTTTTTCTCGTGTTTCTAAATATGGGGTATATCAGACCCCACCTGGGTGATATTGTACTGTACTGGTACTGGCGCAATATTTTCCCGATATGGTGATGCTACTATGGCTAGACTCGAGCACCGAGCAACAGGGTAGCCATAATGATGGAAGTAAGATATGGTGCGCGCATTCGGCCATTATTACATGTTGAAAATTTCAGAAAAATTACTCGACCGCCTACTATGATTTCTCTACGTCACAACGAGCGAGACGTTGATTCTACATTTTTCCGCTAGATGGTGATGCTGCTTTTGCTGCTGTGACGAGTGGAAATAAAATGGCAAATGGCATTTTATATAGGTACGCGGAATGTGGCGGAACATATGTAACAGTGGGATTATTCAACTCTGAATTCGAAAAATCTGCGACAATTATAAAACTGACAGATGTTATAATTGTGCAATGTCGCCATCTATTAGATTAGAAGATCGACGGAACCATTGCTCTCGCTGTTCTCGTGAGGTCGAGTAAAATTTCTGAAACAAAAGCGCATCAGTAATAACACCATATCTTTCTTCCATCATTGTAGCGTTGATTGATATATTACGCTTACCCAGCGTAAGCGTAATATATCAATCAACGATTGTAGTCATGCATCATAATACCAATAATACGCAGCTCGCAGCATCATACTTTTTACGATACTGTCGCGTTACTCGCGTTGTGTCATATTTATATGAATGACAATGAAATTGACAAATGACAGATGAAATGTGACTTAGTGACAGACGACAGTTCAACATTCGATTTCAAAATTTATTGGTTTTCTTGTTTTCTTTGAGAATTTTGAATGAAAGTAAGACATTTCCTTATCATTTTCATTAATCTATAATTATAATTTCTACTATCTATATTCAATTCAGAAAAAATCACTCGATGTCCCAGTTCCTCTTTTTTGTCAACCTTTGTTCTCAAAATGGCGCAATAAGAGGAAGCTCGTTTTTCACTGCCAAGATTTATATTTTGTAGATGGAATTTAGTGGTTTTGATAATGAAAGAACTCGTTTTGGCTAGTTTATCCGTTATTGCATCTCTTATTATTGTGATACTGTTTATATTGTTTGGTAATTTTTCTCTTGCTGGCATATGAAAGTGCAATATCTAATGAGTGTACTTGTGTTTATTTCAGGGTGGTATATAGTTTGGCGACTCATTCTAAGCAGATTCAAGTTCATCAGAGAACTCATCAAAGGGGCAAGTGATTCTGCAATTAATGACTTGAAAGTCAGCCGCAGCAAAATCAAGAAAACAAGAAAAGACTGACAGTGTGAAAATGAATATTAGATGTGCAAAGCCAGAAGACCTCATGAACATGCAGCACTGCAATTTGCTCTGTTTGCCTGAAAACTATCAGATGAAGTACTACTTCTATCATGGACTCAGTTGGCCTCAACTCAGTTATGTAGCTGAAGATGAAAAAGGTAATATTGTTGGTTATGTTCTTGCAAAAATGGAGGAGGATCATCAAGAAGATTTGAAACATGGTCATATTACTTCCTTGGCAGTCAAAAGATCTCATCGAAGACTAGGGTTGGCTCAGAAGCTGATGGATCAGGCTTCTGAGGCTATGGTTGAATGCTTTGATGCCAAATATGTGTCATTGCATGTGAGAAAGAGTAATAGAGCTGCATTGAACTTGTACAAGAATTCACTAAGATTTGAAACTGTTGAAATTGAACCAAAATATTATGCAGATGGTGAGGATGCTTATTCTATGAGGAGGGATCTGAAAGAATTTGTGAAAGAGAGTAAAAGCAAATTGGAAGAGAGAATAGAAAAAATTGAAGAGTGATGTTGTGTGGATTTGTACCTTGTATTATTCTTATAGATAACTTAATATAACCGTCTTGTTGCATTTTGGAATAATAAGTCATATCCTGTCAATTTCCTATTTTCTTATCAATTCTGTTATGTGTGTTATCCATCTGAGATCTAAAAATGTTACATTCTGAACACGCCTATCGCTTATGCAACACACCATACACACTTCTGCACTCTGTTTCATGGAATTCATACTTCAAGCGTTGCCAGACCAATGACGGCTAAATGGACTGTCTGACGAGTACTACATGACTGTCCAATCACTCAGTTCAGTGTATTCTCCACCAGAGGGGTTTACTTGCCGTCCTTTGCGGAGAAGTCATTTGTTTAGCTCTCATTCGGTTGTTTTCCAATAACATAGGTTATATTGAATTATTATTATTTTATCAAGTGTCAAAACTGTGTCACTGTCAGGTCCCTGATGTGTTCTGTTGAATATATCGATAAATTCCTTTATCGGATTTTCATTCAATCAAGCATTCTTCTTTGTGTTTAGTTCTGGTAGTTTATTTATTCAGGTTTGCTAGTTGTGTCTTCATCATGTATTTACAGCCTTCTAGCGTATGAAATGAAATGTAGTGCCCATACCCGCATACCCAGTGATAAACTCCACAGCAAGAATGGTCGAATTTTATTTTGGGAGGCATTGGTAAGAATATGATTTATCATGAACACTTTTCTGATGATTTTCAATTTCAGCCTCGATTCCACCATTAGAACACTGGTGTTAATTCTGGTGTTGAAGTTTGTGTCAATGCTTTTGGAAGACACTATAGAGTGATGATCAATAGCACTACATATGGCGACTTACTTATCATGATCGGGATTACATTCAGAAAGGATCGCTTATCATAATTTTCAAGGTATGTTCAGTCTGCATTGTTGTTGCGTAGCTAGGTAGGGTAGGACTAGTATTGTTGAAAACTGTTTCATGTGAGCCTGATGGTTCAAGCCATCAATGCAACGTATTCAAACTTAAATTAGCATATACCTACAGGATGGGCATCCCAAAAAGCAACACCAAGAATGAAAGAGGAATGGAATTTAAGGTATGCTCTTTGAATCCCAGAGAATCATCAGTCTAGGCCAACATCTGGAGTTTTTTCGAGTGCCACAACTACAATTTGGGGTATTTTGTATTCTTGCTTCCTGGCAAATATCCCAGAATAATGATACTATCAGAGATTTTCAAAAATGTTTTTCACTGCTGTGATGATTTTGTCACAAAAAATTTAAATTAATTATTTGGCCTAAGTTTATGTATTATGTATGCCCATCATCTATCAATGAGATCCTGTATAGCTTTCTTGTTTTCTTGATAGAAGTATGAGATGGTATGTGAAATAAGGTAAAATGTTGTCACTGATACTAGCCCACTAACTATAGCTTCCCCATAAGTAGATCTAAAAAGATGAAAAGAGTGCTGACTCAACTTTTGAAATGCATATAACTATTTCTGCCTCCACAAAGTTTTGAAAATGGTTGGGAAATATGGATTGATAGATAGATAGATGATATGTATAGAAAGCATTTATTCAAGTAATATAACAATTTCATTCCATAGACAGTCACCATAATAAAAAATTTCTTTTTCCATTAAATTAGCTGATGATTTCTGAACAGATAATAGGAATTGTGGGATACACAATAATATATCATCTTCCTCTTTTATTTCCAGTGTCCAAAGGATCTCCAGGTAACCTAGCTTCATTCTCCAAAGTCAAGATCCCGTATCCAAGCCGTTTTATAGTCATTGTGTTGCCATCCCCAGAACCTATAAAGAAATGTTGCTATAGAACATTTAATGATTTTGATGCTGGCATAGTTCTATCAATCTTGCAATACAATTTATCTTTATATCTGATATGGAATATATAAATATGAAATGATGAATTGATATTCAATTTGCTATTCATGGAGATACCTACCTGATATTGTAGTTAAAATGCCTGATTATTTTTCTGAACCCTAATTGAACACCTAATTAAACAACTGTTCAGAAAGCTCACCTTATAGTGAATATTCTGGTTATGCATAGATAGCATCATCAGAATTGAATGTTTCCAGTCATCATTCAATCAAACCTCATGAAGAGCTGCTTCAACATTGTGTTGAGAAAATTCAGTATCTTCCTGAAAATACAAATTAAGAAATATCACTTGAGATCACAGATTTTGTGAAACAATATGAAATGTTGCAGTACATTTCACTTTGAGAATACAGCAGTATCTGGTTATTAGGGCTATCATGGCTCTTATTAGGCAGTTAAAAATTCAATCAATGAAATAATTGAACATGTCCTTACCTATTTACGAATTGACGAAGATGATTTCCACTTGAATGGCATTATTATTTATGCATATAATAGCGTTATTTGGCATGAACACTCCTAGACACTTCATTTTGTTGTCCTTTTCACAGTTTTACTTGGTATCTCGAACAAAGCTCTCAAATCTCGAGTGACAATGAGTGACAGGCTGACAGTGAGAAAATTTGTCAACAAATTGAATGCAGGTTATGTTGAATAGCTCATTTGACACAGGAAATAGATGACGCCACTTGCCGTCCCTTCACAATTTCATTACAGGGCGATTTGGCGATTTTCGCTGAATGAACAGTCATGTATAACCCGTCAGACAGTTCATTTAGCCGTCATTGGCCAGACCTAGTACTGTCGTAGTAAATCTAGTACTTTTTCACTGAAAGTTCATCAGCGAAATGTCATTATTATCTCACCTCACATCCAAAAAAGAAATCGTGTTGCCATGGTAACGTGTTCAATATTCTGAATAAATCACAGATCAACAATTCGTGATTAATGGATCAATTAGCGTGGTACATATCCGTACGCTAAAAATGCCATTTTAGTGATGTGAGTAGAAAAAAACGTTTTGAGTTTTGTGCTCACTCATCTAGTCTGTAATAGTTCATATTACTTTTTACCTTTGAAATACATAATTTTGTATATTTTGAAGCGTGTTGACAAATGAGAAATGAGATATTCATATGTCAGTAAATAACTAGAGTTCATCATTTCTTCTCCTTGTCTATTCCCCCTCCCCCCACTATCCTTACTCAATAGTAGGAAGCATAGATATATTAGCGTAGGAAGTTTGAATGAAAATCCAAACCAAGGAAATCCAAACTACCTAGTTCTTTTTTCGAAAACCTAGTACTCTTTTCGGTGATTCTTTAGTACATTTTGAGTTGCTGCTATTACTTATACACACAAGTAATATGAGTTCTGTGGTTTTCTGTTATCGTCTGGACGTCTGGTGTCTGGCAAAAAGGACTCAAAAAAGGTAAGCAACATTATTATTAGTATTAATAATTTTATTCGAATTTTAAAAATACAATTTCGGAACTTCAGTTGTTTTCCTATAACTTAAATCTATGTATTCCTAAGATAAAATGTACAATAATTTGAGATTATACTTGGTCATATTTTCTAGAAATAATATTTACAGCCAGTTGTGAGGATTCAAATAAAATTACAATACTGTTTAGAGTCCAATATAATAATTCCAAACAGTTCAAGAACGTTTTTTTTTATATTTATGTATACATCATACTATAGTCCTAGTCTTAGTTCTAAGCATAGTCTTATTATTAATTTTTGTCTTAAAGATTTGAGGTATTTATCCAGAACCATTAAAACTTGATTTAAGCATAATAAGAGTCATGTGAGAATTTGTGGTTCTTTTTGTATCAGAGATGAGGAAAATTCTCTATCAAACTTATCAACATCTGAGTTATGCTTTAAATTATGACTAAGACCATTTAAGACATGATTAGGACTATGCAAATGTTGCATTAATCCACCATTATTCACCAAATCATGGACACAATAGTTTCTGAATTGTGTACCTTCATTATTAGTGCTGAAAACACATAATATTCTACTGGTTCAATAATTCATAATATATACCCAGCCAACCATCGTGTGACATCGACATCTGTGTGATGTAACAACCTTGCATAAATGCAATATCTCGTTAACACATCTTATCGACGTAGATTCGATATCAACGTCGCAAGGTGACATCGCAACCAGGAAACTATGTAATAATGTGGCAGCGACTTCTTCAAACTACATCTCTTCGACGTAAACTAAATAATTCACATTGATATCCTCATGAGATATCTTTGTGACCTGTGAGTGTGACGCAGACATGCGCAAAACGAACGCACACGCCAGACGCCATGTTGAGCTGTGCATGGCCATGTCAGTCAGTCAGTCAGTCAGTCAGTCAGTGAGTGAGTCCGACTCCGTATATACAGACTATATTTCCTTCCAAATTCTCTGTTGAAATATCTGAGATGATTTATAGCACATACCTATTATAGCAGCTTCAAATTGGAGGTATACAATCATTTAGGAACGACGGTGAGTTCAATCACAATAGGTAATATTGTAATTATCTCTGAGATAGGAATATTGCAATCTAAAACAAGGTGGATGAAAGATCCCAAGATAATGTAAGTGTATTTGATATGTATCATTTATGAATAATGTATATTTGTATTGCTATATATATGTGTCATGTTTTACTTCAAGATTACTAATTAGGGTGATTGTCATGATAAGTTTTGTATCATATCTGTTTTTACTTTCGGAAAATAAACATTTTCTTCGTAAAGTTGAATAATTATATTATTATTATATATCCCACGAATATCACAGGTACGGCGACCACATCATCGATGTCGCAGGGTGATGTATTTGTAATATGAAATGTACACTTGTATGTGACCTGGTAGTGATGTTTCATGTGATGTCGCATTTCATGTCTGAACGACGTCACAGTGATGTTGCTTGAGTCGGACATTTTCACATCGCCACGTTGTATCGGTAACATGTTTGTGACTTCAAATGCGATATCGCATGTCACAAAGTGATGTGGCGTATACATCACTTATACATCTCATGGTTGGCTGGGTAGTTATAGTTGCTTATTACATAAATCCAAC